CAAGCAGGGGCAATGCGGCAAATTCCTGACCCAGATATTGATAGTACTCATGGAATCATTGTGGTGTCCGGACCCAGGGTTAAGAGAACTCAACATCTAGCTCGGGGCTAGGATCGTTGGGCTGGTGTGACATCGCCAATGCAACCAGCAAATTCAGCCGGCACGGTCGCTCGCCATCCCCAAGGCCCTCAAGCAAGCCGGTATCGCTCAGGATGCCATCGACGCCTTCGGGATCAATGAGGCGTTCAGCGTCGTTGCTCTGGCGAATATGAAGCTCTTGGGCCTCGGCGAGGAAAAGGTCAATATGCACGGCGGCGCGGTTGCGCTGGGACACCCGCTCGGTGCTAGCGGCGCGCGTATCGTGACAACACTGCTCGGCGTCCTAAAGGCGAAGAGGGGAAAGTTGGGATGTGTGGGTATTTGCAATGGAGGGGGTGGTGCTAGTGCTATGGTTATTGAGTCTTTGCAGTAGGCTAAGGGTGGGTTTGGGGCCCAGGAATGAAAGGTGAATCATTGCTGTTTATTAAAAAGGATACCTTTTTTCTCCATTATAGGACCCTGGTCATCATCCCCCAATGCATCGGCTTTTTGTATTTCGGGCCAAGGCATATATATATATATATATATACATACCCCTTTGCTGAAGTGGACATTTTACATGCCAACTAGAGAGAAAACGATACCCATATAACTGTTTTAGTGCCTTTTTTTTTTTTTTTTTTTTTTTTTTTTTTTCCCATGCGGAAACGTCGTACGCAATGTGTAGTAGATGGAAGTCTTAGCACGGCATATATCCTAAAATTTCCAAATTGAAAATATGGATGGACGCTGATGCTCTCCTACTGCTTGTCTGGCTGGTTGCGCCGACAGGCGAAGAAGGAGAATTAAATGCCACGTGACTCCAGCCATGGATCAAGGTCAGATCCATATCTTAATATGAATTCGGTGTTTGAAAAACTATGGGAGACGATTGATACGTATATACTTGAATATATACATATATATAATCCTTAGAACCTCGAACCTACCTCCATGAAACCCCCCACGGAACTTTCCGACACACAAAAAGCTAGGAACTAATAATCAATGAGACTACAAACTAATAAAAGCCTCCCCTTCCCTCCATGCCTTTTTGCACGGACTTGTTCCACCGAAATTCGATGTAAACAACGGAGGTCGCCGCTTCTTCCCGTATCTCGCCCAGCCTTTTAATCAATCTTAATTTTGCCCTCAGCGGCTCTTCTCGACAGATATGGCGCTTGAGGGAAGAAAGGTTATATTATTACCCTCGCATATCGATGGGTAAAATTAGGGAATAATAATACCATTAGAGACCGAGTAGTCCTGAAAAAAAAAAAAAAAAAAAAAAAAAAAAGTGCGTGGCAGCAAGTACTGTACATATATGCCTTCAGAATTACTCGAGGGTGGGTAGGGCTGGGGAGGAGAAGCTTGGGGGGGGAGAGGACTGACTGTGCATAGACGACGACGACCAAGTTTCATACTTTGTATAACGTGTGTGTGTGTGTGTCCATTACGTTCGTATATGTGTAATATTCCACATCACCCAGCCAGCCTACCCCAGTTCCTGCACTCTTGTAATTAACCCTTCCTTCACCCGCTGCCCAAGCACGGAATTGAACACCCCATAGCGTTCTCCGACCTTCACCACAATGTCCAGCGGCACCGCCAAATACCAGCGGAGCTCCGGCGGTACCCGCCCGCTGATTTCAATCAGCCAGCGAGTCTGTGGCATCAGCAGCTGCGGCAAGCGTGCGCGCTCGGGCATCATGCGCCAAAGTATCGGGTACATGACCACCTGCAGCGCCGTGAAGTGGATAAACATAACCAAGAACATCGCATTCTTCTCCATCTCCGCCATCACCCCGGGGGCAGTGGGCGAAATGATATGGTTCTGGAAGCTCGCGTCGTCAATGCTGCACAGGACCGTATACGCCTTCTGGAAGGCATTGCAGGCGTCGATCCACGCGCGTCTCTGCAGGCCCTCGGCCGCGTCGAGGAGGGTGGCGTGGTAGCTCCGGTGGGATTCGTGGTGGAGGAGCGGGATTAATGACCTGAGCACATCCGCGTCGCGCTTGACAGCGCCCATGTCGACGCCCATGTCGGCGGCTTCGTCGTTGTCGTCGTCGGAACACTCGCGTTCATCAATGCCGCCAACGAGATGGGGCAAGGGCGAGCGTAGGTCAGAGCGGGTCTCCATGATCAAGTGGAGGGAGAAGGGGTCCAGCCCGCCCACGGCTGCGATGTGGCCTGTCAGCCGTCCGCAGCCGCGGATTAGGACGAGGAAATCGGTGAAGCCGTCGCACAGGTGGCCTGACTGTATGGTCAGAGCGTAGCATGTTGCAAGCATGGCGTTGAGTTCTGGGATGTTCGGGGTGGTGAGTGAGGTAACGAGGTCGGTGGTGGGGTCGGCTAGAGCCTGATTGTCCATTGATTGCTGGAGACCACGGAGGGCCAGGCCACGGTGGGATAACATGGCCGCGTAGCCGCGCATTTCCTCGGGGCCTAAAACGTCGGCGGCCACGAGCGAGAGGTGCGATGCGCCTAGGGAGAGGATGGCGTGCATAAGGAATTCGTGCTTTGGGAGTGAAATCAGCTTGGATCGTTATGGATGAAGCGTTTGATGAGATGGGACACATTTATGTGTAACATGCAGCGCTTAAATATATATATATGCACTGTACATATTTACCTGGTGGGCAAGGAGAGGAATTTCAGTAATCCACATGGCATCAGAGCCCTGTGGCAAGTACGGATAGGCCGAAACCATGTAGTGGTGGAAGAAACGCATATCGTCGATTGTGAAGAAAGGGGGAAACTGCGGAGGCGCGGAAGCCGGTTTGATAGACGGTGGAGGAGGCAGCAGTGACTTTGGATAGTGGGCACCAAGGCTGTTAATCCTTCTGTTATAATTTGGCTGCAAGCGACGGATGGGTTGATGCGACTGTGATTTAAATTGGGAGGGATAAACGCAGTCAAGCTGCCTCGAACTGCAGTTGTCGCATACTGGTCGTGTTTCGGGGCACTGTTTTTATGTAGAGAGAAACGCGTCAAAGAACGTCCTGCTCCGCATGGATATTCACCATACCTTTACCCTCCGAGCTTTACAGCTATAACAGCCGGTACGGGATTTGGTATGGGGTTTCCTGTTGATGGTCGAAGCCGTGCCCCGCGGGGAGTCTTTGGCGACGTCTGTCATAGTTGTAGTTGTTGTTGTCGAGGAAGAGAGAAGGTCAGTTCTATTCGGTCTCTGATTGACGATTTTCGTCGGACGGTGATTGCTAGCTAGGGTTGGTTTCTCCCAGTTTTTAGTCCTCCTACCATGCCAACGTTGCCGTTTAATAAGAACCCAAGTGATATCTTCAACCCAAGGATGAAAGCCGTTTTGAGGCCGATGACAAGAGACCAAGCGACCTCAGCTGCAGCTGGACGGCTGATGAACAATGCACTCCCCCAAATAGGCGCTAAAGACGCCGGCTTCAACCAGAGAATTTGCGGCCCCCGGGCCAACACCGTAGCATTACCTTACGGACGTCGTGGCGTGGTTGGTGGAGCGAGGTCACAGTCGAATATTCTAGCTGTTTGACTAGTAGTCCCTGGCACGTCTGAAAATGAGCGATCATGGGACTAGGAGAACTCTTGGTTCTTGAACCTGGGAAAAAAGTGAAATTTCCGGCCCTTCATGGCCACCGTCCTTGGGGGTCTTGGGGGGGAATTCGTACAGCGGCCAAACTCAAACCACGCACTGGTTTGGGAGTCAGCCGCAGACCGGCGCAGATGAGTCGTCTCTAGCGTCTCAAAATGGCAAAGCAATTCAATCCATGAGTTGTGTCGACGACAGCCAGCTCGGCTGAGGCATAGTTCGCTCACTACTAGTAGCATGGCACCAGCGAGCAAAAAGTGAGGAAGGGACCAGGATCGAGAAGGCGGTTGGGTTGAGGAGCTTAATTTAATCAAGAGGGAATTCAGAGCGGATTCAGAGTGGATTGATCTATTTCGACTCCCTCCACACTAACACTAAGCTCCTGACAAGACGTCGCTTGTTTCGAACGCTGATGGAGGCCATCGAATGCCCACAAAAAGGAAATCGATTTCTTGGATGTCTCCAGCCTTTGGAATGGCCCCACAAAATAACCTTATCAACAAGCGGACTTTAACTCTTGTCTCCATCGGAGTTTGTCTGGGCTTGGCCGCCAGCAGAGATGAGCAGAGATGAGCAGAGATGATGGAATGCGGACCTGCGGCCCCCAATTCCGATCGGCCAAGAGAAGAATCGTCCGGGGAGGATTCTGGAGAACCCGGAATTTGCATCGGCTTGCCATCGGTAAATCCCCCGCCGGAAGGAGGTTTTAATTTTGCACACAACGCGGGCCCCTGCTTGCCCAGATATTGATATACATACATCAATATGACAGCCAAATTGATGGCAACAGCGTCAGATGTGTGCAGCAGTCAGTACGATGCCATCACGCTACAGCGTATATACAGTTTCTCGAATGAAAAGATGCTTTCTTAGTGCGACTATCGATTTCCTGATCTGAATATAATCGACGTGATTTTTACTAGCGTGGGAATAACGCTGAAAGGCATCAATATCTCTGTTTCCACTGGACTTCCCAAAAGAGCAGGTTGAAGAAACCACTCCATATACTGTAATCTTTCTGCCGCTGAACTCATTCTTCTGCTGTCAGAGTTGTATGCAATCATTATTCCCCCCCCTCCCTTCTGATAATCCCCGGGGTATAAAAGGTTCCTGGTATAAACTTACTTAGTTGGGGCATCTCGATCAAAAAGTAGGGTCTCTTTGCAGGCACATACATATCCACCCCCCCCCCCCCCCCCCTCCTTGCTGGAAATGCAACGCAGGAAACGCCACTTGCTATTCATTATCGGAAAAAGGGACTGAATCATTCTTCGCTCTCGGATATTCCTGTCCGTTGCTTGGCCGCGGCCAGCTGAGTAGGGCGGCTGTTCCGGGAAGCAACGGGGTCGAATGATAAAGACAATATACAGGGGGGTGAAACAAGAGAGGGGATAAGGGTTAAAATGAAATCTTGCAGCTGTGAGTATATACAAGCCATTGTTGTGGCGAGGCACAAACCAAAACCCCAAATGTCCTTTCAGAAATACACGCGGGAACATTATTCAAAAAAACAATGATTCAATTGTATACTAAAAAAGTGAAATTAAACGTAAAAGCAAAAACATGAACCCTGAGGGCCTTGCGGGAAAGAGGGGCCCCGGAGGGGGAGGAGGATTACTTTTGTGCCTCCCTTCAAGCAAAGGCCCCAACAAGAGCCATGAGCAGCGCCCCACCAGCAGCTGCAAAGCACGCCTCAATCCGACTCCTCCCCTTCAAAGTCTCATAACTCCTATCACTCAAAAGATCCTCTGCCAACAATTCCACCAGCCCCGCAAACAGCAGCAGCCCACTACTGAACGCATTCGTCATCCCTACCATCAGCAGCCCAGCAGTGCTGGCCGGATCGTACAGGTTATGTAGACCCAGGCCGATTGCCTGTCCGATGGGCGTGGTGGCACCGTAGGCTAACGCCATAAGCCATGGTTTGGGGGAAGATGCGGGGAACAAGGAAGGAATTAGAGACGCGATGCGCCCGCCCAGTGCGAAACCTTCGAAGGTTTGGTGGAAGGTGATGGCGACGAGAAAGACGAGAAAGGAGGTGCCTGTGGTCACGCTAAGGGCCATGCCGATAAAGATGCTGTGGAAAAGGATGCCAGCCTCAAGGAGCAGGCATTGCAGGAGCTGCTTTTGCGCTGCGTGAGTGCTCATGGTTCGAGATCTTGATAGGTGGTCGTGGCCGGGGTTGAGGTGGGTGCGGGACTCGTCGTAGCTGGATGATGTGTCTGGAAATGGATCTAGTTCTTCAAGGTCAAGGTCTTCGTCGTCTCCAGCTTGCGGTTCGCCGCCCGGAGTTTTGGGGAGCATTGGCGCGTTGCTCCCTTCCACCAAAGCAAAACCCTGCGGCGATGGAGGGAGTGTGTGGGAGGGAGAATCTTTGTGCGAATGATGCCTGACGCGGGATTTCCCTAAGCGTATACCCCCGTCGCTATCGCCATTTGCCAGTGACATGGAGGCAGTCTCATGGTGGTGTGATCCTGTCCCTTCAATTAGAGTGTCATATTCACTCCCGTGTACATGTTTCGCGCCTCTCAAAGCGAAGAACATCTCGATGGCCACAACGATCATGACAGCAATCATTGCAACTAGACCAGCCATTGCTGGGTAT